TTATTTATAAAAACGGACATATTGGGCCCATGAGCCATCATTTGCAACCTCTGGATTATACTACGCCATCTCTATGACATGACTAGCTCTGTAAACCTTATGTGCACAAGTAAGACGCATGGCATATGGTTTTGTTATATGTGCCATAAACTGTGCTAAATAATCTAGAATCCATACTTTCACCTTAAACATAAACATTACCTGCTGTGCATTTTTCTCGCCTTTTGTTTTTATTAAGTTTGTCATTTTTTAGAATTTAAAATGGAAAAGAAAAATGTAACCCATAATACCAACTATTTACTAATTCTATAGTAAATCCCATATTTAAGTATGCATATTTATCCTCAATGAATATCCCTTATAACCACTATATGCTTGTTTTAGTTGACAATGATTTTTTTAATATGACTTTTTAATAACATCTACAGCCAGAAATTGGTGGTAGTGTCGGCAAGGTAAGAACTGCAGGTGATTTAAGGTCAGAAGGAACAAACACCAGGAGTTAAAACAGGACGTAGAGATAGTGGTACCAAGGGGAGGAGGGAGATAAATGTCCGGCCTGGGAAACAAGAACAACAAATTTCATTTTGGCCAGGACCTCCAGATACCTCCTGTCTTCCTACCTCAATGTGCTTCACCTCTCCTGATGGTCCTCCAATTAAAAAAGTAATGTTGCAAGCCAAAAAGAGACAATGGCACCAAGAGTTAACTATGGATGTGAGGGCCACGGTGAGGAGCATGGTCAGCATAAAATGTGAGTTGACTGGACAACCAGCAGCAAAGTAACCCCAAAAAGCAGCACTGACTCACAGGAAACACAGACCAACCAGTGATCCAAGAAAATACCAAGCATGGAATAAGCCATCAAACAGGACAACCTAATCACACTGATCAGCTTGCAGTGCTCACTCATTTTGCCTCTCCAGATGCCATTTCGTAGCTCCATGTGGGTTTTTCACTGTTTCCTAGACTTCATTTCCGCCCCACCACCTGTCACATACCCCTCCCAACTCCTCCCCCATCATGATAATCAGATATTTCCTCCACAAGTTTCCTTTGTATTGAATTACAAGTTGTTGCCCTCTACTCCTATAGGTCATGGTGGGCCATGGGTACGTCTCCCAGCCTCCATACCACTGCCAACTGTACCTACACCGCCACATCTGAAATCTAGTATCTTTTCTTGTGCATGTAACTATCACCTATTTTATTGTGTGTCCAAGTACCTAAAGCTCTGAGCCTCTGTCACACATGTGACCATCAGTTAGTGTTGGGGGGTGAGTGAGGGAGTGAGCATTGCCACATTAAGTCACTAAACCCAAATATCAACAATAGGAATTTAATTTCAGGTGGTATCATGAAGGTACAAAGTTATGCCCTTAGGCTCAAAGCAAAAAAGGCCTCATCACAGCATCCATCTGTCTCAACCTCTGGGAATACATCCCCAAGTGCATGACAGGGTCTCAGCACCAACAACAGAACATCTGGTTATTATTACATTATTACTATAGTTACAACAGAAGTGACACATTCTGAAATCCCAACTACAGGGCCTCTTAGAGCTCAAAAGAAATACTCCCCTATGCATATATTTCTACTTCCTATATATAGGATATCTAAATTACACAATCCAGCTTTTCCATTAATTCTGAATGGCCTTCGTGATAGGTTTCTATGAAGTAACCATTTCTCCTCATTCCATAGCTGTTGATCAAACTTTTATCATTGTGACATGAGAAAATGACCTTCTTGCTTTAATAAAAATGTTATTGTTACACTAGATGCAATATGTTTCTATTGTCAAACTATAACGGATAAGATTCCAGAAGGTTTGCTAGCAGGGTAAGGATGGTCTTCCATGACAAAACAGTCCTAAGAAAGGAGAAAACCAATAGCTTTTTTTTTTTTTTTTTTTTTTTTTTTTTAGCTTTCTCTTCTGTAAACAGAGTTGGAGGTGTTCCTGGAGTACTTATTATAAAGTCACTTCTAAGTTTCCCAGCAGACCATTCAACTCTAGAACAGAAGACAAGTTTCCCAATACATAACAGACTCTAAATCTTTCATATGCAGTATGTAAGGCTAACCTTAAATATAATGCTATAAATGCTGGGACAGCTGGGCAGCTCAGCGGTTGAGCGTTTGCCTTTGGCTCAGCTATGATCCTGGGGTCCTGGGATAGAGTCCCGCATCGGGATCCCCACAGGGAGCCTGGTTCTCCCTTTGCCTGTGTCTCTTTCTGTGTCTCTCATTAATAAATAAAATATTTTATACACATATATATTACAGCTACCTGCATACAGGAGGTTTTTTTCCTTCTACTCAAACTATGCCATCAAGAAGAAAGCACAACAATAGGGAAAACATCAAATATACAGCTAGCTAGTGTTTACTGAGTGCTTACGTTGTGCTAGCCATCGCGGATTATCTCTTTTAATCCTAACAGTCACATTATGATGTATGCTACTCCCATTGTATGAGCAAGGAAGCAAATTTTGAGTAACCAAAGTCAGCAGCTACACAAGTGGCAAAACTACAACTGCAACCCTTGTTATAGGACTCTGGTCTGCAAATACACCTCTACTCAGTTATGTTTCCAAAGTATGGATCAGCAGCACATTTAGGAGATGACAAGAATGCGAGGCCTTCCCACATCACAAATTAGATGGATCAAGGGAAAGCTGATGGCATAATGCTACTACGGTCTATCCCTTAAAGCTTCAATTGTCAGAAAATAAGGTCAGAGGGCCAATCGCAAGATACAGTTGAACAATGTGGGGGTTGGGGGCATCATCCATATGTTACTTCTGACTCCCCAAAAACTTAACTGCTAGTAGCCAACTATTGACCAGAAGCCCTATTGACAGTCAGTATTTTGTATGTTGTATGTATTACATACTGTTTTCCTGTAATAAAGTAAGCTACAGGAAAAACTTAAGAAAATCACAAAGATGTAAAAATATATTTATAGTACCATTTAAAAAAATCCACATGCAAGTAGATCCATGCAGTTCAAACTTATGTTAAGGGTCAACTGTATAATAATTCTAGTGAGACAGGCAAAATGAGATAATGAAAAGAGCCCTGATTTAGAACTGCTGTGCAGTATCCTGGGCCAGGCACATAAACACAAGATTCAAGCCCCCTGCTATAAAATTATCATGATAAAAATACAGCTCACTCTTGTCATCACTAGAATAGTCAGAATATAACGGTGTGCCTAACACTGTGTCTGGCAGAAAACAGATACTACAATAGTTTATTTCCTTTTTTATTCTCAAAAGGCAAGTGATCTCAGGCTATGTGGGATTGAGCCACACATCTTGGGTGCCCTGCTCAGTGAGGAGTCTGCTTCTCCCTCTGTCCCTTCCCCACCAACTCAAGCACTTGCCCGAGCTCCCTAAAATAAATAAATCTTAAACAGACACACACACACACACACATACAAGTAGACAGTTCCTGTCTATATAGTGTAAATTCTCCCTGGACACCTCCCTCTCCCTCTACTCTTAACACGCAAATCTACTCTTTACACACTAAAGTACATTTTTAGACTGAAATCAGACTGGTAGGCTTTAAAAATAAAATGGCCTGATAAGGCTGTTTCCATTTTTAGGTTTTTTGTTTTTGTTTTTTTTTTTTTTTTTAATAAAAACTGAATTAAGAGTAGGGACACTTGGGTGGCTCAGTAGTTGAGTGTCTGCCTTCGGCTCAGGTCGTCATCCGAGGTGCTGGTACCCCAAGGGGAGCCTGCTTCTCCCTCTGTCTATGTCTCTGCCTCTCTGTCTCTCATGAATAAATAAATAGAATCTTTTAAAAAAAATAACAAGAGTAAACTGTCTTTAGTGAAACGTTTATAGTTGTGAGATATTTGCTTTGCATTAAAAAGTGAAAAGCTCCAACTGTAGAACCGCCAATCTTTGAATCCGGAAAGAATCAGGGGTCTCCACCTATCCCTCTTCCAATTCTTTACAAACTGTGGTTCTCTCGATCACGGACGCACACGAGTCCCTACATTCCTTCCAGATCATTCAGGTCTTAAATAGTGTGAAGCATGTGGCCGTTAAACACCTAAGGGGAAGTTGCTAATCAACATCCCTGAGACTCAACATTGGAAGGGCAAATCACAAACTTGTCTCCTAAACCAGAAAGCAGATGCTTCTGGTCCCCAGCGCAACTGAAGGCTCCTCCCACTCACAGAAGAAAGATAACCAGGTTTCAGTTTCCTTTTTTTTTTTTTTTTTAAAAAAAAAAGCCGAATTTCTAAAAAGCAATTAACTGAGCACACGTGTTCTTCCACTCTTGCATGTATTTACAATCCCTCCATTTTCTTCTTTAAGTTAGAGAAGTCCACAGTAAGCACTCTCTTGAAAGGCATTAGGAGGAACTCATTTTAAGGACTGAGTTCTAGAAGACAGGCAGGAGGAGAGAGGTGAGCAAGCCGAGTTCGACTCAGTTTCCTTTTTAATTCCTGCACTACAAGGCAATTACACAGATCTGTTTTCAAACAAGAAAAGCGCCGAAGAATGCACCAACGATGCAAAGTAATGCGAGGCACAAGACACGGGCACGACGCAGCTGGGGTGCTCCGTGTCACAAAAGGCTGCTCGGGCACAGCCCCGCGAGTCGGAGGCTCCCGGCTGCCCCTAATCGCATCCGGTCCCAGGTCCCAAAACCAACGGGCTTCGGAGCCGGCGGCGGAAAGGCGGACCCGCGGGACAGGCGCGGACAAGCTCCGGGCGCCCCTCTCGGGAGCTCGGGGAGGGCGGGTGGCGGTCCGCGGAGGGAAAGGACAGCCGAACGCGGGAGCAAAGGAGCGATGTGACAAAGGCGCAGGAGCGCCGGCTGCAGCGCAGGCCGAGGGAGGCGACCCGGGCACCGGGGCCGGGGCTCGGCGACCCACGGGAGGGGGAGGAGGGTTCCGGGGCCCGCGGCGGAGCGCAGCGCGCGGGCCAGCCCCGGGGGCGCGCGGCCGGGCCGCAGGAGCGGGGCGCGTCGGTCACCTGTATTGCTTGAAAAGCTGGTCCGACTCCCTGAAGCCGTTGTTGAGCAGCATGTTGATGCCGGCCAGGGCCAGCTCCGCGTCCTGCAGGGGCGCCGCCGCCGCCGCCGCCGAGTCCCCGTCGTCCTGCCGCCGCGGCCGCTGCTGCTCCGAGCCGGCCATGGGCGCGCGAGGCTGTGCGCTGGGCCGAGGCGAGGTGGGGCGGCAGCTGCTGGGCCCCGCGCGCCCGGAGCCCGCTCTACCTGCCCCGAGCGCCTCGCAGCCGAGCGGGGGGAGGGGCGGCGCGGCGCGGGGCGGGGCGGGGCGCGGAGGGGGCGGAGCCGGGCGGGCGGCGGCGCGGCGGGGGACGTGAGCGCCCGGCCGCCACCTCCCGCCGCCGCGGGGATTACTCAGCAGCGCCCGGCCGCCTGCGCCGCCCGCTGCCCCCGAGACGCCCCCCTGGCGCGGCCACCCAAGTGGAATCCGTTTCCGGGTGTCCCCCCCCACCCCAGCCCACCCCCCCGCTGAGCCCGGGCCCGAGCGGCCGCCGCCCCGGTGCCTGCAGCCCCCGCGCGCCCTTTGGGTCCCCGCCACCCCGCAGCCCCTGCCCGGCCGCCCGGGGCACTCGCGAGGCCCGGAGGCCCGGGCTTTGACTCTCTCCTCCAAAAGAGCCGGACCTGGGGTCGCGGGGGGGGCGAGCGGTTTCGAAAAGGGGGCAGGGAACCCCGCCTGGGGCGCAGCGGCTGGAGGCCCCCGGGCGGGCCCGGCCCCCGGCGCCTGAAACGCAGAGCAGCCCGCGCGCGCGACCCCCGACTTAATCCCGACCTTGGGCCCGCCCCCTGGCCGAGGTAGCCAATCCCCGAGGAGGTGGGCGGCGGGGGCGGGGCCCGGGGGCACCTGTCGGACGGCCGCAGGGATGCCCGCGCTGGGAGCTGGAGCCCGGAGGATCCCTGATCCTGGTACTCAGCCTCTCCAGTCCCCACCAGCCTCTTTGCCCGATGGGGGCAAGAGGACAAATGGAGGCCCACGTGGCAGATACCTAAATATTCAAAGTTTATAAATTAAGCTCAAGTGTTTTCTGTTATCACCCTGACGATGATGCTTTCACAGCATTGAAACAGAAAAATAAGGAGGAAGCTAGGATTATTACAGCACTGAATATCAGTAAAATGTCAAAAATGACAGAACGCAGTCATTATTGTATATGTGTGACTGTTCTAATGATGGGCTGGTAATGTCTGAGTGAGTAATATTATGGAGACAAACAATTCGCAAGTAATTTTTATGTTTTTCCATAAATTTTTATTTTTCGACTTTAGCAAAATCATTAAATATATTGTGACAATCAAGATTATGTTCTCTTTTTTTTTTTTTGAAGATTTATTTTATTTATTTATTCATGAGAGACACAGAGAGAGAGAGAGAAGCGGGCTCCTTGCGGGGAGCCGGATTCAGGACTCAATCCCAGAACCTGGATATCACACCCTGAGCCAAAGGCACACTCTCAACCACTGAGACACCCAAGTGCCCCAAGATTATGTTCTTAATGTCAAATCAGACCACTTCTCTTCAGTCATTATAGTTCTTACAGTGCGGTTTATTAATTTCAGCTTGGAGAAATTGCTCTGCTGAAGCACTTACGAATGACATTGTTTTTAAAAATTAAAGCAATATTCGGGTTTAGAGATAACCCATTCACATTCAGCATTATAATGAGATCAATATGAAGAATTATCACAGAAGATATTTCAAAAAATAATTTTATCTCATCATTCAAATTGCTATCACTTATGATTTGTGCCATCCCTTACAGGAATATCTAAACTCATATAGCATTTCCAACATTCATATATACAAACTTAAGAGTAATGTGAACTGCTGTCATTCCTTAGCTGTTATTTGTTAGAACACCATGCTAATTATTTTTTAGGATCTTATTTATTTATTCATGGAAGACAGAGAAGTAGAGACATGGGCAGAGGAAGAAGCAGGCTCCTCACAGGGAGCCTGATGTGGGATTCGATCCCGGATCCCAGGATCACACCCTCAGCCGAAGGCAGATGCTCAACCGCTGAGCTGCTGAGCCATCCAGGCCTCCAGAACACCATGCTAATTCTTGAGTACATCTGGAGCCGCAAATTGGAACATCAAAAGAAGGAAGAAAATGGATGATTCTCACCTCTCGGAAACAATTCTTTGTAATAGAGCAATCACTGCATGCGTGTGATCTGAAGGGACTCGATAGGTTTGCCAGGTTTTTTTTTTTTTTTCAAGTACTCCTGGATTTAAAAGTGTTAGATTCAAGTATCAGCAGTGCCACAGATCTACATGGCATTCATGGGCTGTAACCTTTGTCATTAGGACATTGAGCAAGAGCTAAGTAACATTGCCTTGGGGTCTGAACAATGTTTTTTTTTTTTTAATTTTTTTTTGTTTTATTTTTTTATGATAGTCACAGAGAGAGAGAGAGAGAGAGGCAGAGACACAGGCAGAGGGAGAAGCAGGCTCCATGCACCGGGAGCCCGACGTGGGATTCGATCCCGGGTCTCCAGGATCGCGCCCTGGGCCAAAGGCAGGCACCAAACCGCTGCGCCACCCAGGGATCCCCTGAACAATGTTAATCATGAGAATGGATGTTAAGGGTTCTAAGTTCCCCGGAGTCAGCACTGAGTGCTGGATCCTGAGTGACAGAGATGCACACGTGTTCTTTAATAAATGTGTGTGTGTGTGTGTGTGTGTGTGTGTGTGTGTGTGTCTTAGGTACTGTACCAGCCGTGGGGCTCTTGCCAGAGATTGTTCCTTGGTCACACATTGCCATTCATAACCAGAGCTGACAACATGCCCGGTGCTTATAAGCTGACTGAACTTTGGATCTGTGGATCCATCTACCCCCTAATCCTGAAACAATCTAGTCAACAAGGGAGAGAAGCCAAGAGGGCATACCAAACTTAGCAGATAGCCTGTACTCCCCAACTGGAGAAGGCAGCCAAGCACAATCCTCCAGGTCCCTACTTCTGAAGAGGACAGTCAAGGAATCGATGGCCCCATGGGCATTGACAAGTTGTATCTGGGGCCCTGCAGCTCAGAATGGGGGATGGGAATGAATAAAATCAAAGCAACCTGTCTCAGAAACTTAGCACAAATGGTTACGCAGACTTAGTGAAGTTTAGCTGTTGAACAATTGGAGCAAGATCCAGTGCAACTGCCCAGCACCCCATAATAGGTGATAAGGTTAGAGATAATTCCGCCGTGTAATTTACACCGGATTATGTGCCAAATTGGATCTAACCAAATGCCACAATTAGATTAGCAGCAGCATCTTGAATGGACATTTTCAAATATTTGCTCTGCAATGAGGGATACAAAGAGGATTCAAAATGGGCCTCATGACCCGGAAGAGAAGCAATACATGAATCAGTAATTAGACCTGTGACAGCTGTAGTTGTTGGCAGTGACACCTGCCCACGGTTTACCTGGTAGGCAGGGAATGGCAGTTGACCGTGTTTTCTTCACTAGATAACAATGGCAGATAATGATGGATATTTAAGAGGTCACGGTGTATATTACCTACAAAAGGAAGGAAAATCTAGATTGCCAACACGTTAGGGCACCACACACTTGAAATGCTGAGATTCTTAGCACCCTTTTGTAGCACTAAGGCAGTCTTCAGTGCACTTGGCTGCAGCCTAATAGGATTTACCCGGTGTTCCCTTTGGCAGAAGGAAGGAGAAAAGGAGAGAGAGGGAGAGGAAAAGAAAAGCTCTTAAATGGAGGAAGAACCCGATTTCCTTTCTACATACCTCTTGTGGGTATTGTCAGTATTTTGTGGTTCTCCATGAGATTTCATTGTGAAATTGAAACCCCAAGTCTAACCGATTAGTGAAAAGTTTGGATGTGTCTTACTTTTTACATGGTAGATTTTTTTTTTAAGTTAAGACATATTAGTTGCAAGTAACAAAAATCTGACCCAAATGGCCCAGAAGAAGTAAATTCATTGGTTCAGGAAGGGGATTTCCCAAAATGAGGCTGGACCAGGGCTGCAAAACTGTGACTTGCACCCAGTTTCTCCATCTTTCCACCCTGAGGTTCTGTTACTTGGGTGCTTGATGGGTCTATTCTTAGATAGATCCTTCTCTCCTGGTCCCCAAACAACTGGAAGTTTTTCAGGGCTACCTGTTTGCTTTTTTGCATGAAAATGCAAGACATTGCATTTTCAATGCTTAATCAAAATCCCCCTAATTGAATCTCATTGGCTTTCAGTGGCCAGGTTGTAGCCAGGTGCTCATTCTTTTTTCATTCTTTTTTTTTTTTTTTTTAAGATTTATTTATTTATTTGAGAGGGAGAGGGAAAGAGAGAGAAAGCAGTGGGGAGGAGCAAGCAGACTCCCTGTTGAGTGTGGAGACTGATCTGGGGACCCGGGGCTGCATTCCAGGACTTCTGAGATCATGACCTGAGTCAAAATCAAGTCAGATGCTCAAGCTCAACTGACTCAGCCACCAAGGCACCCCCAGGAGCTTGTTCTTGAACCAATGTGGTTAGCAGGTGGTCCCTTATGACCCACTAAGCCAATCAGAGCCTGCCCCAGGATCTGGGAGGTGGAACCCATTTCCCTCAAATGCCATGGCTGGGAAATTCTAGGTTTACCAGGAACAGGAAAGTAGGAAATGGACATTAGAGGGACAACTAAGAACATTCCCTGTCCTTGTCTTCCTAAGCATGTTTTGAGTTTTCAGAATTATGTTGCAAATGCATTTAGAGAATACACTACCTTTAGAAATCTTGTTGTATGTGCTTCGGTCATATTAACATTTCTTAGTAGTGTTAGTAATCGTGCTTTGATATATCTTTCTGTAAACCTGCACCATCAGTTGAAATAGATTAGGTTCCAGAAGGTCTGGAATTCTAAAGTGGAGGAGAGCTGGGAAATTAATGTCACTGCATTTTCATGTTAGGCCAGCTTTGCGATTAAATCAGCCCTACCACTCACTTACTGAAGGTGAGGGAAGACTTAGTTAACTGCTTTTAATTAGGAAGCCCATCAGGTCAAGGGCTGGCATGTAAAACTGTAGAGCAGGTTCCATCCTTTGCTACTCATAGATGGGCCGCTGACTGGCCTCTAAGGAGAGGAGGTTGTGGTAGACCCTAGGGGATGCACTTGGCTGTTTCTCCAGCAGGGGGGAGACAGGACACTCATGCCACCCTGCAGACCACAATAGTGGTGGCCACCAATCCCCTTCAGGACTGGGTACCTTTTCATTTTGTTGTCCCCAAACCCAATACCCAATAGATAAAGTATAGGCTTA